AAGGGTTGGTCAATTTGATCTGCATCAGAACATTCTGATCCCAGGCACTAAATATTCATTGTATTGGATCCCTTGGGATGAAAACTTTTCTTAAAGAGAGAAATTTAAGAAAGAAGACAGGTTAAAAAATTATTAGACTTACTGTTCACCAGGATAGAAACCGTAACATTCTGTTTACTCCTAATGTAGGTATCTGAACTTTAGAGATTCAATTAGATGTTGAATAAATGAATGTTTGTGGTATATTATTTGTATTTTTATTGTATGGTATTCAATCACTCCTAATCTATTCAATAACTTCATACAGCTCTCTATAATAACTCTTCACTAAATAATTGTCTTTATGGCCAGGTGGAAACTACACAACTACTAGAGTCATGATCTACATATAGAATGAGTGAAATCAAATAAGCAGTGATCATTTATAACAAACTTTTTTCCTCTGTTCAACATTTACATACATGCACACATATATATGTCTCACTGTACATACATACATACCTCCAACCTTTTTGTCTTAATAATGGAGCAGATTAAAAATTATGGAATTTTTCATTTGAGAAAACAATACCCACAGTTGCATAGGGCTACCTCTGGGTTGACAGTGCATGTATCAAGAGTTTAAAGATTACATTAAAAAAATTAGTCTCTCTGTCTTGGATCCAAATTGAATTCTGTCCTTTTTCATATTTATGTGACAATATTAAGAAATTGTAGAGCCTGGGCAACTTAGCAAAACAGTCTTAAAAATTTTTTATAAAAGAGGGCTAGAGATGTAGCTCAGTGAAGTTCTCTTATTATGTAAATTCTAGTGACTCTCTTGAAAATCAACTGAAGCGGAGTATGCATAAATGTTATATTGTCCATATACAATACAATTACATATAGTTTACATTATATGCAATGATATATACTGTATGTAATTGTACATATAAAATTATATATGTTATAATTTAAGTAAATTATGTTTATAATATTTATAAAATTAGAATTGTATACGTTGTATGTATATATACATATGATAATTTGTGAGATCTTTCAATTCTACTTGAAGATAAGTTGGTAAAAGTCTTAAATGGGGCCAGTATTCTAAAATGTTTTGGTTACATAGCATTATGGTTTTAGAACCATAGAGAAGTGTTATAATTTTGTGATTAACTTTCAATATTTATATTTTATGTATGAATATATATATACATATATATACATGACACATATTTAATGAGTTTTATAGAATGTACTATAAAATATACATGTGACAAATATTATAAAACATAAAATGCTATATTTTCACAATGCATAGTACATACATAATGCAAAAAATGAATATACATTTATGTATCATTTACCTATACAGTCCATTATAAATCTTAAAGACTAGTGAGATATCATAATTTAGAAATTTCGAAAATGAGACATTTCCAACATGGTTTATAAGAAAGGAAGCACAATTACAGTCTTAAGATAATCAAAACTCATTTAAAGTGTACTTAAAGATGGAACACTAAGAAAAAAATATTTTAAAATATGTGCCTATTAAAAACACAGATCTGCCCCCGACTACAATTTTAAATTTATTTCCACCACTTACTAAACTTGAAGCCTGGGGCAAATCATTTAACCTCTCTGGGCCTCTGTTGTCTCATCTGTGAAACAGGTGCAAAAGTATTCCTAACCATATTAAGATGAATTAGGATGCCGTTTAGTAATAACCCTCAAATATGATGAGGCGATTTATACAACAAACACAACAAATATTGCTTATCACTCATATAAAGCTTTCCATAGGTTCACAGACTGTCCATGACAGCTGTCCTCTGTTAATTGGCTCAACATTCCAGGCTGCTTGAATCTTAGATAAGAGTCTCCATCCTATCATAGCAGAGAAAGATTGAAAGCAAGGAGAACCCAAGCATTACTTGTACTCACTTCTACCTTGTCTTAGATGATCATGTTGATTAGTTTGAGGTATGCAAAAAAGAAAATTAAAATAAAGTTAAAATGAATTTTAAAAGCAGTATCATCCAATTTAGAACTGGAAGGTTCTCTAAAAAGAATCTGATCAAATTATTTGTTTTTCAGTGCAAAGCCAGTGCTTGCTAGGCAAGCATTCTCCCCCTAAACTACATCCCCATCCACAAAACCCTTTATGACACAGCAACAAATACCCAGAGATAATGTGAGAATTTTTGCTTAGGAAGCTGAGTATGGTGGCTCATACCTGTAATTAAAGCACTCTGAGAGGCTGAGGCAGGAAGATCACAAGTGGGAGCCCAACTTGGGCAACTTAGTGACTTAGACAGACCCTGTCTCAAAACTTAAAAATAAAAACTAAAAGCGCTGGGGATGTAGCTCAGTAGAATACCCTGGGTTCAATCCTCAGTACCAAAAAAACTTAAATTTTTCACCCGGTAATATCAGAATCTGAAGTCAAATTTAGATTTATCTTTTCATGTCCTCCTGGCTGCAATTCCACTCCCAGTTTTTGCTAGAGTGCTAAAACAAACGTACTTGCTTCTGTAATATCCCGGAGATGTAGGCAACAGTGGTTGTGTCGCCTTCTAAATTTATATTTAATAGAAAATCCAGAAATGGTGATAATAATAAAAGAAACGTTCCAAGGCCTGAAGTTGTATTGCGGCAGCCGCTATTACTCGCTATTCATTCTATTTTAATAATATGACATTTATTGTTCAACCCAAGTGAAAATCCAAGATTAAATACCGTACTGAAGAATGGTATTTTCCCCATGACATAAAAGAATAAGGTCTGTGAGAAGAAGCAGAATGGCCTGTCTGAGAACTTTGGGAACGTTAAAAAAAAATAAAGTCTATTTATCACTGTGCTTTCTGAATCATTTTAAAATTGCCCCCGGACTTTTCGCTCACAGTGCCGCACGTGCATTTCTACCAGCAGGGGGAGCAAGAAGGCTGAACTAAATGCCATGTGTGATTTTTGTTTCCATTTTGCTGATTGAAGGGAAAAATCAACCAACATATCAAGATAAGTGAACTGTCTACTGTGTGTATTGGAGGGTGTGGCTGGCAACGACACATACAATGATTTTCCACTCCAATAGGTTCAGATTTAAAGTATAACTTCAGATATTTCAAAAATTCAAGGCATGATGACAATTCTATTACCACTTCCATCCATGTAAAATTACTGCTGTACCAACTCTCCATTTCCCTTCCGCTGTTTCTGTTCAGACTTTCCAGCATTGGAGGACCACAGGAAATGCAGACATCAGCTCCTGAGGCTGAGCAGAGGAGGAATGTCATCCTAAAGCATCCTGAGAAACAAATGCCCCCCGGAACTAACGCTATCAGTTACCTCTTTGCTGAGCTAGTCATCTTGCAAAGCTGACTATTCAGAAAGTCTGTTTACTTGGTCATAACAGAAAACAGTGTAAAGCTAGTATGACTCTACCCAAAGATTCTGCATAATCTAGCTTCGTGCAATGAGGGCTATCTAACATTCTTAAATACAGGACCAGACATTCAACTCTGACGAACAACACCCCCTGCTCCAGCTGTTCTGGCCCACCAACACCCCCTCCCGGGAAAATGTTCTGGCCCACAGACACCCTCCCCAAAAGTTAGCTTTAAAAACCCCACGCTTTCCTCAGCTCCGGGCTGCCCTAGTCCGCTGGGCAGCCCGCCATGTCGCTCCCCCCAGTAAAGGCTCCTCTCCTGTCAGAAGGTCTGGTCAGGTTCAGCGTGGGTCTTGACCCGATCATATCACATATGTAGAAAGCGGGACAATGGTCAAACCAGGGTGATTAGCATTTGTAACTCCTCAAATGCTTATTATTTCTGTGTTTGGGAAAACTTCCTTTTGATATATATGAAAAGTTGTACAGACGATAGTTACTCTGCTGAAGGATAGAACACTAGTAGCAGCTACTCCTAACTGCATCTTGATCCAACCTATTACCCACCCTCTACGCCCCTGCCCCTATCCTCTTGAGCTCCAGTAAACACTACTCTGTTCTCCGTCTATGAGATCAACTTTTTAGCTTCCACAAATGAGACGGTACTAGCTTTTCCCTACCGTACGTTTATAAAAGAATCTGGTGCGTCTCATTCTTATAAATGGCACTGAAGATATTTTCCCTTCAGTGGAATCAGTGGAAGTTCAGATAAGAATAAAAGGAGGCTTCAGCTATGGGAGTAACTTAGACCTCTCAAAGGTGGTGTTTGTAGTTCACATCGAGCCTGAGCAAATATCTGGACTAGTTTTGTATGTCAGAACCAAAGGGGAAGGCTTATGGAGGACTCCGTTTCTTGCTTAGAATGAGGCAGGCTGAGGAGACATACATCATTTCGTCCATACTCTGAACTCCCCTCCCTTTTCTCCCTCTCTCCTGCTTGCTGACGACTCCTTCCTGCAGCTCTGAGGATCACAGGCTGACTGAGGAACACAAAGGTTCGATGGGAGCCCTGCTGTCAGGGTCCCTCTGACTTGCTCTGTCTGTCTGTCTATCTGTCTATCTGTCTGTCTCTCTCATCTCTCCCTCCCTCTCCCTTTCTCTCCCTCCCTCCTTAGGTCTCCCTCTCCTCCCCCTCTCCTCTCCCTCTTCCCCTGCCTCTTCCCCTGCCATCAGACTTGAAACCTGCCTGATAATCTCCCCTTTGGATTCAGCACCTCTGGAACCAAATGTATTTTGTTGCTCTTAGAAGTGAATAGGGTTTAATTACATCCAGCTGGGAGCTGCTTTGCTCCAGAGGACCCCAAAGGATTCAGACATCATTGTTTTTTAATCTACCAGAGGAGCTTTTGCTTTCCGGCCTGAAATTTGGGGGTGGAAGGGAGTTTTGAGCTTGACTGTTTTTCATTGGAATATTGAAAACTTTTATTGATGCCTGAAATGGAACCCAATTTTTACATACGGGTTGAGTGAGATCTAAAGGAAACATGCCTGACCGTTTTCCGCACGACTGACCAGGGAAACATCTAGAGAGAAACTTGGTAGGAGAAATGACATGTATTTGCTTCAGCCATGCTTTCTTTTGAGAAAAATCATCAGACTCACTGAGAAAGGAAATTAACGTTGGTAAAGGACAATGTCTTTCAGTAATTTGCTGAATGATTCTAGCCTGTGGGAGGAAAAGCGTAATTCTACGGACCTTTCCAATTCGCCAGGAACGCTAAACATCTGTCTTTTTTGCTTAACCTGTGTAATGACTCTTGCAGCTCTGACGGGCAGCATTTTTTCGCTAGTTTCCCTGTTGAAACTGCAGAAGAGGACCGTGGTGTCCATGCTTGTGGCTTCCTGGTCTGTGGATGATCTCATGAGCGTCCCGTCTGTGACTATCTTCATGTTTTTGCAATGGCCGAAAGAGGTCCCTGGCTACTTCCAGACGCTGTGCACCGCCTCCGCCTTACTGTATTTATGCCAGGGCCTCTCGAGCAACTTGAAGGCGACTCTTCTGGTCTCCTACAACTTCTACACGATGCACAGGGGCGTGGGAAGTCAGGCAGCGCCGGGTCGCTCGGGCCAGGTGCTCGCGGCGGCGCTGACCGTGTGGGCAGCCAGCCTGGCGCTGGCCGCGCTCCCGCTCTGCGGCTGGGGCGCCTTCGTGCGCACGCCCTGGGGCTGTGCGGCGGGCGGCTCCCGCTCCTACGCGCTGCTCGTCTTCGCCGTGTACGCGTCGGCCTTCGGACTCCTGGCCGGCCTCTCGGTCCCGCTCACGCACCAGCTGCTGTGCTCGGAGGAGCCGCGGAGACTCCACGCCTACTACCAGGAAATCGCCCGCAGAGCCTCCACGCCCGGGACCCCTCCTACAGCGGGGGGAGCGCCGGCCCCGGCCCCGGCCCCGGCCCCGGCCCCGGAGGCCGTTCATGGGAGCATGAAGGAGATGGTAGGAGGCTGCTGCGTGTGCTCGGACGAGAGGGGCTGGGCCGAGAACCCGCTGGTCTACTGCGATGGGCACGCGTGCAGCGTGGCCGTCCACCAAGGTA